GGGAGGTGGAGGGATGGGGAGGAAGGGAGGTGAGGGAGGGGAGGAAGGAAGGGGAGGAGGACAAAGGGGAGGGATGCTTTGGAAGTCCTGCCACCTCCCCAGACCCAGGCCTGCATCCTGGTCTCGGTGTCCTCAGGGGGGCCCCAGCCTGGGGACAGTCGGCTGAGGGCACTTCCCACAGGAACCCTTCCCCATGACCCACCCATGTTCTGGAGTCTCCCTGATGCTGCGTGGCTCTGAGTTCCAGTTTCTCATTGGTGGTAATTGCTTATAACCTCCAAGTTCCCATGGAGATTTACAAACGGTAGACTGTGGGGGCTGGGCGCAGGGAGCCTTCCGTCCCGGGGTGTCTCCTTCATTTTTCCTGTGCCCCCAGCTCTGCAGCACCCCAGCCCCCCACCTCTGTCCACTCCTGGTCGATGTGTGGGTACCAGACCCCCAGCGTTTTCGCCCACAGGCCTCCCACCCCTCACGTCCATCCCTTAGAACCAGGATGCTCCCGAGTCCTCTCTAAACCGGGGCATTTTGAGGCACCAGGGGCACTGGCAATAATCACACTGGGTGGTGGGCATGGACCAAGACAGCAGCCAGGAGTCAGCCCACAGATGGTCCATGCAGGTGGACCCGGCTGCCCCCTCGCCTGGGCGCACAGGCCAACAGGCTACTTCCGGTCCCCCAGACCTTTCAGGTGTAATCCGGCCCTTCCTAAACCTCTTCCCCTCTGGGCCCAGTGACAGCACACCTCTCTCGTTAAAGCCTGATCCCTCCCTTTCCCTGTTTAGTACACTAAGTTTTGCCATTTTTATTTGGAGGATGCTATAAATACCGAGAAATTTCATCTTGCGCACATAATTTTCAAAGGTCCAATTGTGCCCCCGTGTGGTGACAGAAGAGACTGCAAACCAGAGAAACCTGCATCCGGAGGGTCTTCAACGCTGCTCGCAGCAACTGCAAATAATTAGGAAGGACGGCAGTGCAACACCAGCTTCTGCGCGAAACTTTGGTGTTTGTAATGCCTCCTCTTATGATCTTGTTTGTTCTTTAAGGCCAGATACTATGTTTATTATCTGCTTTACCCATTTATCGACTTCCTCAACAAATATTTCTTAATGCATTTTATATTCCCCCCCCAGCATTTTAAGCAGTTGCTGAACAGTAGGAGGAGTAAGACCCCTCTTATGCAATAGGATTCTACAACACCACAATCTGTCCTCCCTCCCAAAGCCAATTACTTGGTACGTGAATTTCCCAAAACTGCAACACTTCATGATATGGGGAAATCTATGATGTCTCGGGTTTCTTTATTCCAACCCTCCTCCCCATGAAAAAGCTGGGAGTTACCAGAGCAGAAGGTTAGGGCATGTATCATACAAGCAGGTGCCCTGAGTCTCTGGATGCAGACAATTTTGAGAAAGTACAATGTATCAAGAGAATTCTGGAGTTAGAAGACCAGAATCCAAGGGCCACCGCTCTAAACACCTGCTCTGAATGTCAGTTTCCTCACCTAGAAAATGGGGATAATAAGACCTCTTAGTTCACAGGACTGGCACTAAAATGGAATCAGGTACTGAGCTGAGGACCCCTTAAGGACAGGCAGTGGGAGGCGAGAGCTCGCCACCAGGAAGAGAGGACAGGACCGGAAAAAAGTTTGGAGAACACTGTTTGGAGAACTCACCTACTAAAATTTATTTCCAAAAACCTGATTTCCAGGTTTCAAAATTGTTGGCTAAGTCCCACTAATCGCTATCTGCCCCCAAAGAGCCTCCCCATCCCTCCCGCCCCCTCTGTTCCCACTGCACGCAGGGTGGCAGGCTAGTAACTCCAAGCACGCACGCACCCTCTAATTCTATAAAGGGCCAGCTTCCTGATTGCATTAGCAGCATGAGGAAGTTCCAAATTACCGAGGGGCCTTCTTCTCCCGCTGCACAGCTATCTGACAGCGTAATATAAATCAAAGGCCTCTTGCTTCAGAGGCCTGGGAGAAGAGTGGAAGCACTGGAATTATTCCCTGCTGATCAGCAGGAGGAAGACTCCCAAAGCAGATGAGAGAAAATGGCATTTCCCATTCTCACCGTGGTTAAGGGACTTTCACTGAAGCCTCCTGCAGTCCAGCACTGCTCCCACACCTCAGATGCTTGAGCACCCCACATGGCGTTTATGCCATTAGTTAATAAATGTACTTAGATTATTATTATTTACTTAGGGGAGCCCGCTGGGGGAACGCCCCCCTGTGGTGGCTGTCACTCCCCTGGTGGGGAGTCTGCTGGGAAGCGGGCACGGTGACCGGCCCTGGGCTCCTTCCTGGGGATGAAAAGTTCTGGCACCTGTGGGAACCAGACAAAGCCCACCGCACTGCGCCCTGCAACCACGCGAATCACACAGAAGAAGCTCCATCAGGAAGAACTGCTGTGAGCGTATTCGGTAGGACAGAAAGAGAACCGTTCTTATCTCCGGTGAGAGTAAATCATCTTCATCTGTGCTTTGTCCTGGGGACACCCCGTTCACATTCCAGGGACCAGCAGTCTTAAAAACAGAAGTAGATGTTTTGTTTGTGTGTTTGTAAACCACATCTACGGTTCCTATTAAACACAGTTTCCCAGGATCCTTTTATCTGACATTCTAAAAAGTCGTTTCTTTTTAAGGCCATTTCTCCCCACAACGTGCTTTCAAGCCGCAATTACACAGATCTGAGCTGTGCAGCGAGGCCTTCGCTCTTGCTCCACAGTGGAGCTGGTGGGTGTGGCAAAATTATGATTTTTATTCTAAGGGGAGGTTAAGAAACATCTGCCGCTTGATGGAAACCATGTGTTATTACAAGACGCTACGTCAGGCATTTTAACATGACATATTCCTTACAATTACACGCACTAAACAGAATTCCCACTAATGTTCTCATCACACACCAACTCAACAATCTTCCCCTGTAACTCATAGGGGATTGATCAGTGCAATTATTTTGTAAAGGTCTTTGTCAGTGGATTCAAAATAACCAGAAACAGTAATTATTATTATTTAGGATTCAAGTGTTAATTTTCCAGCTGAGATGCAGCCTCAGCCCTACACAGTTACAGGTGTGCATGGCACATCTTCTGGGAGGGAGAGCACCAAGAGTAGTCTCCCTTTGTCCTGCAAGGAGGGCGGGTGCTCCCACCGCAATGCACTGGAAATAGGGCCCTGCGGTCTCCAGAGAATCTGCCGCCACCGCGGCTTGTCTTCATGGCCCTGCTCGTCTTCCTCGTCTGCAAGCATCAGAGAGAAAGTGCCCACACGGGCTGGACAGAAGCGCCAGGCCCCCATCTGCCCCTGGGATGTAAGCAGAGCAGCGCGAGCCCCTCCAGTCTCACTGCCTGAACTGCCGAGACCCACATCCGAGGTCTGAGGAGGGCAGGAGGGAAAACCCAAGCAGCATCTGGGGCCAGCTCTGACAGCCACATACCCTGCAGAGCGCCACGAGGGGGCCAGGCTGGTGAAGCTAGGCTGCAATCAACCTCGCCCCTCACCAGGTCCTGGGTCCCCCCCTTTCATGTGGTTGTCCCTAAACACACCTCACACCCGCAAGTCCTCCTGCATGTCGTCAGCCCTCCGCCCGAACCACCAGGAGTGAACCATCACACATGCTTAGCTAGACCCACCAAGCAAGAGAGAGGGGGCCCAACTAGCAGACCCAGGGAGGGAAGCAGGGGCGTCCCTGCCAACCACAGGAAAGGAGGGGCTCCACAGGAGAGTCACGGACAACACTGTGCCAGTGATGAGGAAATGCTAAGTCCCGAGAAAGACAAACGAGCAAAATGACACCCACCAACTCTGCCTCTGTGGAGGATCCAAGTCCTTCTGGAAAAACTGGGGCCTCGGGAGAGTCCTGCAGGAGCGACCTGACACCAAAGCCAGACCAAACGTCACAGGAGGACTTCACACCAGCGTCTCAGGAACACTGACACAAAGCCTTAACAAAACATTAGCAAACTGAATCTACAAGCACTTGAAAGGATTATAGGGATGCCTGGGTAGCTCAGTCGGTTAAGCGCCCAACTCTTAATTTCGGCTCAGGTCATGATCTGAGGGTCATGGGATTGAGCCCCTCATCAGGCTCCCTGCTTAGTGGGGAGTCTGTTTCTCTCCTTCTCCCTCTCCTTCTGCCCCTTCACTCTCTCTCTCTCTCACACTCTCTAAAATAAATAAGTAAATAAATAAATAAATCCTTAAAAAAATCTTTAAAAAGATGATAAACCATAACCAATCGGAATTTATCCCAGGAGTGCAGATTGGACAAACACCTGAAAATAGATCAATCAATAGCTGTGGGAAAATATTAATGACAAAATCTAATATGTATTCAAAAATTTTTAGGGGTGCCTGGGTGGCTCAGTTGGTTAAGCGTCTATCTTCAGCTCAGGTCATGATCCCAGAGTCCTGGGATCGAGTCCCGCATCAGGCTCCCTGCTCAGTGGGAAGCCTGCTTCTCCCTCTCCCACTCCCCCTGCTTGTGTTCCCTCTCTCGCTGGGTCTCTCTGTCAAATAAATAAATTAAATCTTTAAAAAAAAATTTTTTTAAAAAACAATCTCGGGGCACCTGGGTGGCTCAGATGGTTAAGCGTCTGCCTTCGGCTCAGGTCATGATCCCAGAGTCCTGGGATCGAGCCCCGCATCAGGCTCCCTGCTCGGCGGGGGGCCTGCTTCTCCCCCTCCCTCTGCTTCTCCCCCTACTCATGTTCTCTCTCTCTCTCTGTATCTCTGTGTCTGGAATGAATAAATAAAAAAATCTTTAAAAAAAAAAAAACCAAAATAATCTCAAATAAGGAAAAGAATGTCCTCAACCTGATAAAGGACATGTTAAAAAAAAACCAAAAACCTACAGCTATAATCTTAACAGGTTTTTTTTTAAAGGATTTGTTTATTTATTTGAGAGAGAGAGCAAGCGTGTGCACACGAGCAGGAGGGCTGGCGGGAGAGGGAGAGAGAGAACCTCAAGCAGAGTCTGTACTGACCCCGAGATCACAAGCTGAGCTAAAACCAAGAGTCAGACACTTAATGGACCGAGCCACCCAGGCACCCCTCATCATAGCAGTGTTTGATGAAAGACTTGAATTCTTTCCCTCCTCAAACTGTGAACAAAGCAACAGTATCAGTTCGCACCACTCCACTCAGCATCACACAGGGAGCTGCTAGTCAGTGTGATAACCATCTCCCCTCAAAGAAAAAAGGGAACGAGAGAAAGGAGAAGCAATTAGCCATAAATACTAAAAAGGAGAAATAAAATATTTACAGATGACCTGATCCTGTACATAGAGAATTCTAAGAATTCTACAAAAAACAACACACACAAACAAAAAAGGAACTACCAGAATAAGCAAGATTATCTTATCAAGATTGCAGGACACAAGATCATTATGCAAAAAAATCAATCCTATTTTCACATGCTATCAACAACCTGAAAATTAAGAAAACAATTCCATTTACAATAGCATCAAAAATAATAAACTATTTAGCATTAAGTGTAACAAAAGAAGTGCAAGATTTGTTCACATAGAACTACAAAGCATCTCTGAGAGAAATTACAGAAGATTTAATCAAGAGACATTCCGTGTTCATAGATGGAAAGATTCAATATCGTTTATACTTCAGCTCCGTGCAATCACTCCCAAAATCCCAGCATGTTTTTGTAGAAATCGACAAAGGGAGCCTATTATTTTTATGGACAAGAAAAGGACCTGGAATAGCCAAAACAATCTTGAAAAAGAACAAAATTAGAGAATTTACACACTCGGCTTTCGAGCTGCAGCTGCCAACACCATGATCAGCTGGTGTCAGCCTAAGGACAGACACAAAGATCAGTGGGGTAGAACTTGAAATTGCAGGACGTTCAGAGTCTGCATGGTAAAAGGGAACACAAAATAACGTTCTAAAGAGTCACTGGAGAGAGATGTCTTTCTATTAAAGACTCTCTCGACCCCGTAGTACATTCTCCTGTCTGTCGTGTGCTGGATTCAAAACAGGGAACCAACCAAAGGCAACGACTCCACCTCATTCTCTGTTTTGACTCATACGAAGGTGGTCATCTGGGGACCTGGGTTTCATAAACTCTCTCCAGTGGCTGAGATGGAAACTTGGCAGTCATGAGGGGAGAAGCATATTAGAAGGTAATTTGTACATAAATTACACATGGAATTTATACAGGAAGATTATTTCCTCTAACACGGCAGTGGGGATGTTGGATGTTTGGGGGAACCAGCAGGGTGCAGGAAAGCTGACTGCGGCCTGCAGGCTCTCGGGCTAGGAGAAAGGCTTACTACCCAGTTCTGAACCGATAAAGCAGGGTTTCAAATGAAAACTTGGGGCTTGGAGAATCAGATTCACTCCAAAATATGTGTTCTCCACACCTGACTTGAGATAATAATTTAAAAAGTTAAACAAACCCAAGCCATGGCAGAAGGCTCAATAGTCCCAGATCTCAGTGCCATGTCTACCTGTTGTAATGAACATCCCTAGTGGGAATCTGAGACAAATTGACCCTTGAACCCTGTGGGCTGTCACTAAAATCACAATCCCCTAGATATTCCTGCAGAATGAACCCCAGACTTGACGGCATCTCCCTCCACTGGGAGGTAGAACAATAAAGAGCCGGGAAAACCACAGCCTGTTTCCTATCGCATGATTACCTGGTTGCTTCCAAGTGCTAGGAAATGCTCCTGGAAAAGTCCCTGGTGCTCTAAAGTGCACCCTACAAGACGTCCCCAGGCCAGGAGCGTGGGTTCTGCCGTCGACCCTCTCTGTGACGGGTGGTTGGGAAGCAGCGTCTTCTAGCCTCTACCCGACTGGCCCGCAGCACGCCCCCTGCTCTCAGCAGCAACACACACAGAGGGTGCCTCGTCCCAGCCTCTGCCTTCTCCCAGAGACCGCCACAGCCACGTCCCTTCTCCTGGTTGTCTGTCCCCGTGCACAGTTCACGCAATGTGTACTACCAGCTCCCTTAAAAAAGAAAACGCTTTTGTTCTCATGATTCGTCTCTTCTCCAAGAGCCGTTTTAGAGACAGCGCAGCCAAGCCCACGGGCGTGGGGGGCTCGGTCCCCAGCTGTCGGGGCCAGGATGGTCCCAGAGCTTGCACGCTCATGCAGCATGTCTGACTGGCGTGTGCCTTGTGTTCTAATGTTAATCCATCATGCAGGAGCGTCTGACTGCAGACCCCTCATCTCGTGGAGCCCTGTCCTCCCAGATCGCATCTGTCCTTCCAGTCACAGCGCCTTTCCCCGTCTCCACCTTTCCCTCTGCCCCTCACTCAAAGAGAAGGGGCTGTGAGCCTACAACACCTCCATAGTCAGTGCTGGATCTGGGAAAACAGGCCAAAAAACGGGGCAGGGGGGCGTTCCCCTTCGGTCTCTCTGACCCAGTTAAAAACAAAGAAAAATCGAAGAGAAGATTTCTACTTTAGGCAGGAGGGCAGTCAGGACACTCTGAAGGGTCCTTCTCACTACAGAACAGTTAGAGTCTAAGACTTGATTTTCATGCCAGGACTGGGTTTACAAGAAGCAAGGGGCGCCCTGAACACTCCCAAACCAGGGAAACCCTCGTGAGCAGGGTCCGGGGGAGGGAACGTGGGTGGGAAAATACACAAAGTGGGGCACCCTCAGGGATCCTGCCAGAATCAGGATGACCTGGGGTTGTAGAGGGGGGGGCACAGAAGCTCCAGACCCTGCCTGCAAGGATTCGGAAGTGCCCCACCTGGGTCCTCTGGTTCTTGCCAGAACAAGGTCACCACATTCCACAGATTACCACCCACCGAATATGAGCTCACAAACAGCACCAACCGTTGAGAGGAAACCGCTTATATGAACAACAAACAAACAAAACAGATGTAAACCCACAATGACATCAAGTATTTATATGGTCAGATTCAGAATCTTAAAAATTAGGTGTGAACTATTAAGGAGAAAAGATAGAATTACCGAAATAAATGACCAAGTAAAAACAGACTATAAATGAACAGGCATATTTGAAAAACATCCAAATAGAACTCTCCTAAGTGAAAACTATGATTTTTGAAATCTCAAAAGATGAGTTAGACAGCAGATTACACACAGATGAAGAGAGGTTAATAAACTGGAGGCGCATCTGAAGAAATTCCCCAGGGTGCTAAGAAACGAGAAGAGGGAAAATGTAATAAAGATTGAGAGAGGAATTATGGCACGAGAAGGTTTAACAAACATCTATCTATTCAGAGTTCCACACACACTAGCACGGAAGAAGTTTTTAGAGATAATGCTTGAGAATTTCAAGAACAAATGAAATTCATGAATCTACAATACATCCTAAACAGAATAAAGGAAAAGAAATCACCCCTAAACACACGGCAATGAAATTACAGAATACCAAAGACAAAGAGATGATCACCTACAAAACCACCACAGTCAGACTAACAGACTTTCAACAACAAAACACAGAAACCAGAACCCAATGGGAAACGTCTTCTAATGAAAAAGATCACTGTCATCCTCTAGCTGTATGTCCACCAAAACTAGTTTTCCACAATAAGAGCAAAATAAAGCCCTTTCCGATAAACAGAAGCTGAGGGTTTACTTCCAGCAGAACTTCCAAGAAGGCGAGCACAATCCCGTAAGCCGGCTGAGATCTACTCACACACAACGCAGTGTAAGCACACGTCACGTGTAGATGGTACGTTACACGAATATCTTAGATATCCCTTATTTTAACACAACAGTGTCTTTTCATTGGAATGTTTCTCTTTCCTAACAAATTATTTGTTACTTTAAAAAAAAGGAAGATATGAAATCTAAGAAAAATGCTGACCAGATAAACTGGTAAATATACATTAAATAAAAACAAACATTGTAAAATAACAAGAGTACCTAATTTGGGGATATAAAAATGCAGAACTAAAATACTGCACAATTTCAGTATGTGAGTCTAGAGAAGAGCAGAGGTATATGTAGTATTTTAAGATCTATGTATTGTTTGCAAAGAAATTGGAATATTAACTTTACATTTATTAAGTTAGGAATACAATACAAAGTAAAATTTCAATGGTGATAACCAAAATAATAAAAATAGAGTAAAAAAATAAATAGAAAAGCAGATGTCTATATATCACCAATGGGTGAAAAGAGATGAGAAAGGAGAAAATATACCCATAGAAACATGAGATTAAATATAAATGTACTGGACTCAGCTGCTGAAAGATAGTGTGAGAATAAATCATCAAAGTCTAGCTATATGTTGTTTATAGCATAAATACCTAAACTTAAGGTACACAAACACTAAAAGTAAAAATGAAGACTATACCAGGCAAACATTTATTAAAACAGAGTTATGATAGGGACGCCTGGGTGGCTCAGTCTGTTAAGCGTCTGCCTTCGGCTCAGGTCATGATCCCAGGGTTCTGGGATCGAGGCCCACATCGGGCTCCCTGCACAGTGGGGAGCCTGCTTCTTCCTCTCCCGCTCCCCCTACTTGCGCTCTCTCTCTCTCTCTGACAAATAAACAAAATCTTAAAAAAAAAGTTATGATAGTCGTATTACTTCAAAGAAAATACATTTTAAGAGATAAGCATTGTTCAGGGTACAGAGAGCTCCACACAATGACGAAGGTTCAATTTGTCAAGGATATAAAAATTCTAAATGTGTATTCCTTTAATAACAGCCTCTCCCCCATACACACAAACACATGCACACACATTATTACATAAGCGCACACACACATACATACACAAACACATACAGTTAATAAAGCTACAGGGAGAGATAGGCAAATTCGTAACCATAGAAGAGATTTCAACTTAGCTCTCTCAACCATTGCTTTTGGTCAAACAGAAAGATATGTAAACCTAGAAGATTTGAGTGACACATTCAAGAGGGTTGATTTATTGGGTAGACTAGAATCCTGACTCAAGTAAGGAAAAGATACACATTCTTTTGAAGCACATATTAACCCGATCCTGGAATTATTCCAATAGCATTAAATTTCAAAAAAGTAATATCATTCAGATTATGTTACCTGACTATAATGCAATTAATTTAGAAATCAACCATAAAAATATGGAGAAAAATTCCCATGCATGTGGACATTTTTAAATATACTTCTAAATAACTCATTCGCCAAAGAAAAAGACCATAGTGAGTACAAAAGAATAACTGCATGGCTGACAATAAGAAGATTATATACCAAAACATGTGAAAGAAGGCAAAAGTGATGCTCAGTAGGACATGTATATCATTGAAGTTTTCCTTAAAAAGAAGATAAGCCAAAATTAATGAATTAAATATAAAAGAACTTTGAAAGATTAATAGGTCTAACATCAGTTCACAAAAACCTATTGCATTTTTATATGCCAGCAACAGTCAATTAGAAAAGGTTGGATTTTGTGGGGTTTTTTTAAGTATCATGTATCAACAAGAGTATGAGCAAAAAAAAATAAACTAGGAATAGATCTAACAAAAAATGTGCAAGTCCTACATGGAGAATATCATAAAAATATTATTTGAAGACCTTAAAGAGAGCCTAAATAAACAGACTGATATACTGTGTTTATGGATGGCACAATTCAAGTCACAAAGATGTCACTTCTCCCCAAATTGATTTATAGACTCCATACAGTTCTGATCAAAACTCTAACAAGTTTTATCAATAAAACTGACACACTAATTCTAAAATTTATGAAAAAACAAAGGCCAAGAATATACACAAAACGTGTGAAGAAACTTCCCAGAGGTCAGGACTTACTGTGAAGCTATAGCAATTGAGACAGTTCAAGAATAAAGCAGAACAGAAAGTCCGAAATAGGCTCGTGCATTTCCAGGGACTTACTGCATACAGGAGACGCGTCGCAGATCAATGCAAACAGGATAAGCTTTTCCAAACTGGGGCTGGGACAACTGCCCACCCCGACGGGAAAGAAGTCTGATCACTGCCTGACACCACATACGAAACACCCATTTCTTATTACTTAAGGACTTCGCTGTGAAAGGCAAAGTTTTATAGATTTTTAGAAGTAAAAAAGAAGCAGGGTGGCTGGGTGGCTCAGTCGTTAAGCGTCTGCCTTCGGCTCAGGTCATGATCCCGGGGTCCTGGGATCTAGTCCCGCATCGGGCTCCCTGCTCGGCAGGAAGCCTGCTTCTCCCTCTCCCACCCCCCCTGCTTGTGTTCCCTCTCTCGCTGTCTCTGTCAAATAAATAAATAAAATCTTAAAAAAAAGAAAAGAAGTAAAAAAGAAGCTATCTTTATGATCCCAGGTTAGGCAATGCAGTCTTAAAATTAAGAACTTCTGCTCATCAAAAGATTTTATAAAGAAAATGAAAAAAGGACAAGGCAAAAATTGAGAGATGATGGGGATAACATATAAACAACAAAGGTGTTCAGAAGCCATAAGAAACTACTACAAATCAATAAGACAACCCAGTGGAAAAAAGAGTGATCAACATGAAGAGGCACTTCAGAGAAGAGAAAGCACGAAAGGCAAGAAAATAGGGAACTTGACTTAGCCGGAATGGCTACTGGAAAGATGCAAGTTAAGACCACAGCTTCAACTCTAACACACATCTTCACCCAGACTGACAGACTAGAAAGCGTGGCGCAGGGCTGCCAAGGGTGCGGTGGGGGTACCAGCTGAGACAGCCACGTAGGAACGTGGTTTGGGGTTGCCACATACATCTGCATCCTGGGATTCAGCAGCTCCATCCTCAGGCTCCAGCTCACGGGCACCAGGAAACCCAGCACTTTTCATAAGAATCCAAAACAACCCAAATGTCCATCTGCAAGAGAATGGTAAATGCATCCTGTCACACTCCACATGAGCTATTAAATAGAAATCACAATAAACAATAACCACACAAAGTAATATGGATGAATTCTGGGTACATAATGATGAATGAAAAAGTCATTCACAGACCCAAAAACCCCCATATATATGTGATGCATTTTTTTTATGTGATGCATTTTTTCCAACCTCAAAAGCAAGCATAACTCCACAGTATGCTGTGGCCCCACACATATGCATGCAGCAAAACCCCACACAAAGGGAGCACGACAAATGCAAAACTGAGGGAATTAAAGGGGCAGGACAGGAAGGTGGGGAGCATACAGGTAGTCCTCACAGTATTGGTAATGCTGTAGATTTCAGGTTGGCTGATGGGTTCATTTTAGGATTACACATAGATTTTGGTATCTGCTTAATTTACATAATTTTTAACGGGGTCGGGGAGAGGGGAGAAGAACAGAGGGGCGCGATCCAACTAACGGCTATTAAATGTTACCACTGGGTAAACAAGTATCTGTGATGCTTATCTGTGTTTGCCCCTCCCGTCTGCTTTGCAGAAACACCCCCAGGCTCCTCAGCAAGCCTTGCTCCCGCCTGTGTTCCCAGTCCCCGCCTGGACCCTCCGGCACAACTCCCTCCCTACTGGCAACACCAGCCCTGGTCTCACCACAGCCCGTAACACCACGGGCCCTGCTCCTTGCCGGTGCCTCCATTCTCTGCCCACAACACTGTGGCTGCCTTTCCCACACGAGAGATGCTTCCCACACTTGGTGCCATTTGCGCTGCTCTGGTCTCTCCAGGAAACTGCCACACCAGCCCTGCTCTGCCACCCACTGGCTGGCTCCCCCCTGTGCCCAAGCGGCTCAGACCTGACAGACTCCCAGGGAACCCCCTGTGTCCCATCCCCCTGTGGCCCCACCCCCCTTCCTGGTTCACGGTCTTCTTCCAGGGCCACTTTGGACCCCTCCTTCTCACTATCCTGCCCAGCAAGTGACAAGACCTGGTGGTAGTAGCTCAGAAACTCTCCCCACAACTTCTCCCGTCTGTTGGGATCACCAGGAACTGGGGTCTCTAGCTCCAGGTTCACTCTGCCCTCAGCTATCAGCAGTGCCTTACACACAGATCAGAGGAGCTCAGACATCTGCCCAAAAATATGTAGTAACTACCACTGCCTACAAACCCAGCTACACATTAGAATAACCCAGCGAGAAAAACTCCTGATGCTCGGGTCCCCTCCAAAACCAGCTAAGTCAGAATTGTGACTGGTGGTGTCTGCAACTTTTCAAACATCCTAGCCCTGTTCCCATTTTTGCCATAAAGGACTCCATCAAGGGATCCCCCAGAACCCCAACCATGATGGTCCTTGTGTCTAGAAGGCCTGTTTCCTCTTCTGTTAAAATCCCATTCAAGGTCTTCTTCCAGCAAGAGTGAAGTAGGTAGAAACCAGCCATTGCTCCTGCCACAAGAACTTGGGGAAAGCAGGTATTTGCAAACACCATGTTTTAAGAGACACCAGAGAGCTCTGCAAACTAAGAGGGCTGAAAAGGCTGGCTCTCCGCATGGGACATCTGCCTCGTGCTCGGGAAGCATGCACATCTCAGGAGTGCGGCCAGGCCTGCAGGACAGTGGAGGTAACTAAGACTAGACAAACTCCCACCAGCAAGAAGGTCTACAGAGCACCCAGGAAGAACCGTGAAACCACACGGGGACTGAGCCATACCTGAGGCTCCAACACGGCCCTGCCCCAAACCAGTTGTTGAATTTAGGTGATCAGCCCCTCCAACTGTGCGCCTACAGAAGAAAGGCTGAGGTGTTGGAGCTCTAGGTTTCTTCTATACACAATGCTGGCATGCTGCTAGGAACAACTGCGACAGTCGTACGGTGTGTCCACTGAAAGCATCAGGCCTGGCAGACCTACGCAGAAGGGAGCAAGGGGGACCAAGAAGTGAGTCCTGAGGATCTCTTTGGGACAGTACCTGGCAGGAGTCCAGAAGGCTCTTTGGAACATCACAGATTGACCTCTTGAGGCTTCTAGGACTGTTTTGGCTAAGTTTGGGGCTAGAGAACTTGCAATAGCCCAGAGCCTGAAAAACCATGTTTCCATGATAGCTGGGGTGTTCTGAGGATGGTAAGGGGGTCAAGGGTCGCCTCCTTTCATCAGAACAGGATTCGGGAATCAGAAATCTATGAAAATGGCACCACTGCAAGGTAGGTAAAATTAAGTGAATACCACGCGTGGCTCTTCTCCTATAGACTACGGTTGGGAAGAGCCAGCAGCCCCTCATGGCAAAAATATGGAAAATGTGTTGCTCTTTTCTAAGGATCAGGATCAAAGTCATGTTGGCAGAAAATACTTTCACCACAGGCTATACTGTATTAATTCCAGAAAAATGACACTCATTTTAGGGAGGTGTCTCTGCTTCTTGGATAACCAGAGGAAAAACAGCTATCATGCTCCCTATCTTGCTAGGGAGTGTGGCTTCCTTCAACACCTGGCCAAGCCTGAGTACTTAGGGGCTTTAAAAGAAGCTTCTGGAGACGACTGGGAGGATCAGAGGTGGGGACCAAGGAGAGAGAACACCCTCTTTGGAAGGTCTGGAGTCCCTGAGGCCTTTAGCAACACCTGGACAAAGTGAGAGTAGTTCCATTTCTTCCTCAATTTCTGTATTTTTGTTTTTCCAGGGATTTATCCGTTTCACTTAAAAAATTACCTAATCTTCTGGCATTCAGCTGTCCCTATTATTCCCTCATAACCACTTTTATTTCTGTAAAGTCGGTGGTGCTCTTCTCACTTTCATCCCTGAGTTCAGTGAGGTTTCCCTCTTTTTCACCCGTCAATCCAGCTCAAGTTTTGTCATTTGCTGATCTTTTCAAAGAACCAACTTTTGGTTTTGTAGGATTTCTCCAGTTTTTGTTTTCTGTTTATTCCCGCCCCAGTCAGTATTTCTTGTCTGTTTGCTTTACGTTTAGTTTGCTCTTCTGTTCTGACTTCTTACCGTCAAGGACTAGATTTGAGAGATTTCTCTTTTTAACACGAGTGTTTTGGTCACACTTTCCCCTGTACGCCCTGCATCACCCGCAGCACACAAGCTTTAGTGCTTTTCATTCACAGGCTTCTCATTTCTAGTCGAGGAGTGCTGCTTCACGTCCACACAACTGTGACTGTCCCCAGTCTCCTCCCGCTGCGGCTTTCTAAATTCTGCAGAGAGCAAGGCGCAGTCGCTCAGGCCAAGTAGGACATAAGCAGGAAAGCAGCCGAGGGCATGGCTGAGACCAGAGGTCACCCAACCAGCACAGACTGGCAGGGCAAGGGCCACGGGAACCCGGAGAGCCAGCCGCACGGAGGAGATCCGCCGCCCCTCCACGTCTGCCCGCGGTGGGAGGCCGCTGCCCCGCAGGGCTCTGCACGGGCGTCCATCCCCGCACACAGCGGAGGCCCCGCGCGGCCGGGACGCGGCAAGCAGCAGGCGTGGAGAGCTGCCTCGACCCGGCCGTGGGTCCACGGACTGACTCGCCCGGCACGTTTGCGGGGCGGCACTACGACACCGCACGTGACTTGCAGGCAACCAAGTTCAACGTGCAGCGCGACGCCCTGCGTCCGGAACCCCAACCTGCCTTACAGTCGCTGCCCCGCTTTCCCACCGCGTAAAGCCGGCTCGGTGCGGTGGCGCTCACGACCTAGCCCCTGCGCTCAGAGAACACTTGGTCTGGGAAGTGTCAGGAGCCGGCCCGCAGGGCGCCCAGGGTCGGGGGCCGGGAGGACGCTGCTCCGGGCGCGAGCGTGGCCCGGGGGCCTGCCGGGTCCGCAG